AAAAAAAAAAAAAAAAAAAAAAAAAAAAAAAAAAAAAAAAAAAAAAAAAAAAAACGATCGGATGAAAATCACACAACGCGCACACTTCAAGACTCAATCATCCGTAGTAAACACAACAATCGCTAATGAATCAACACAAGTTCAATTAACTACAAGATGAAAATTACAATAGATAACAAATTCAAAGCAGTACAGAATCGAAAATTTTGTATCTGATCACAAGTCAAAAGGCACGAAAGAAACCGTAAATCTGTAGAGAAAGTTTCAGTGAAAACGAACCGTGATTTGAGTGGAACGAAGATCGGAGAGTGTCGGCTACCGCCTTGCTCTGCTTCTGCTCTCTTCTCTCTGCTCTCTTCTCTCTGCTCTCTCTGTCATTCATATAAATAACTCTCTCCCTCTAAAGCTATTACTTCCAACTCATTTCGTCTTGTTCTGTTTTTTGGCCCTTTTAAATTTGGTAAAATATATATTTTTTGTCTGGATTTAAAAAATAACTAAAACAAATATTAGCCTTTTTATTATTCGCAGGCATCCCTTTAGCCACCCAAAAAAATCACATGGATCACGATTAAATTATATTAGATTATAGTAATCTATTTTAAATATATATTTAAAAAATACTTTTTTTTTTCTAGTAATAACCCACTAAATTACAAAATTTTAGTTTCAATTTTATGGTTCCCAAGTTCAAATCGCTCTCTTAACGACTTTTGTAATATGCCACATTTATAAAATATTTATTTTTAATTAGTGATTAAGATAATAATATAATAATAATAATAAACAAATAAAATAAAATAAAAATAAAAATATTTATTTTTAATCGATCTCTCGGCAACTCTTTTTCATTATTTTTCAATATTTTTCCATTTTCATTTTTTTGGTTTGGTCGGGACAATTTTAGCTCAGCTAAAATAAAAACATTTTAAATTTATTAAAAAAATTAATGAATTTTCGCGTATCAAACTCATACCCTAAACTTACGACAAAAGACTCCAAAGAAAAAGGAGTCACGCCTCCTACCTTGAAAGCATAGTAAAAAATGACTAAGACTCCAAAAGAAAAAGAAGTTGAGCCTCGATTAAGGGGAAACGTATTTTGTTCAAGGAGAGGTGTTGGATGATGAAAGTCTCACATCGGTTAATTTAGAAAATGATCATGGGTTTATGAAACATTTTGAGTAAGTCCAAAGCAAAGTCATGAGAACTAATGTTAAAGTGGACAATATCATATACTATTATAAGAGTCGTGTTCATCTAACACATTTTAAATAAAATACTTAAATTTGAATGATTCAAATTAATTTTTTTTTTATAGTATAGGAAAATAAAGGTTAATTTAGATACTTAAATTTGAACATTATTCATTAAATTTATATGCTAATATTATATTATAAAAAATATATAATTAACAATTTTATTAGGGGTTTGCATGTAAATTGCTACACAGTCAACTTTGGAATATGACATTTTTTACTAAATAGTTATCATCATAATCTCAATAATATGTAAGAAAAATGACCTTTTTAACCTCGACTTTTATCGACCAATTTTTGACAATTGTACATAATATAAACTTCAACAAAATGTCAAATAAGATTAGAAAATTGAATTTGCAATTAATTAATTAATTTTATCAGAGTTTTAAATATTTGATTTAGTTGATTAATCATTAAAAAAAATAATCAAACCTCACATTAATTAAACCCTAAAAAAGAAACAAAATTTAATTAATCCCACCCAAAATTTTAAATATTTGATTAGATTAATTAATAGAACTTAAATACTTGATTTAATCAATAAATTTAACAACAATTTAAAAATAATTAATTGAATTTCATCAAACTTAGAAACAAATCTATTTATTAATATTAAACTAAAAAAAATCTTCAGATATTCTCGGCAGGAAATTATTAAAATTCCAATAAAATCACAAATAAAATCTTAATATCATTAAAAAAAAAATCTGATAAACGAAATATTTAAGGATTTTTTTTTTTTTTTTACAAAAAAATAAAATAAAATTTGAAAAACGATTGGGATTTATGAATTGATCAAACAAAACCCTAATCTCTTTATAAATACGTTCATTCGCATTCAAACTTTTTCAAAACAGAGCTAGTTCTGTTTGAGTTCGTTCAGCTTCAAATTTTCTCAAATTCATCTCTGTTTTCGATTCTGCTCTTCGATCCTCGCTATGAGAACTTTTCAACTAAAATCATCGGACAACAAAATTTTCAAGGTAAGCGAGGAGATCGCGATACAATCCGCAGTGATTAAGAACTTTCTTGAAGATTTCGGATCTGATAGCGACGAAATTGTGATTCCGCTGCCAAATGTTAGAGGAAGAATATTAGAGATGATGATCGAGTGGATGGTGAAGCACGTGGATGAGGAACTGACGAAAGAAGAAGTCGAAGATTGGGAGAACAAGTTTATGAATGATCTAAATATGGAAGTGACGACGGAGCTTGTAATGGCGGCCAATTACCTCGAAGTCATCGGATTGCTCCATCGAACTTGCCAGAGCATCGCCGATCATATTTCCGGGAAGAGTCCGGAGGAGATTCGGAGGATACTTAACATTACCAGTGATTTTACGCCGGAAGAAGAGGCGGAGATCCGACGACAGAATGGTTGGGTTCTTAATCCATCAACAAACTGAAATCGGACGACGGGATGTTTCGGATTTAAATTCATCGGTACCATTTACTGAACTAATCTATATATATATATATATATATATATATATATATATTATTATTATTATTATTATTATTTTTTTTTTTTTTTGCATTTGTTATTTACAAAAGTTATAGAGTCCAATATAATAAAATTAAAAGTTTATAAAAAAATGTTTAATTGATTTTTTCTTTTTAAATTTTAATTTGATTATAAACCAAAAATTGTTTTTTTTTTTCATTTTCAAATTTTATTTAAATGAAAAAAAAAAGTCTAAAACTATATTTTAAATTTAATCTCAATAACAAAAATAATTATTATGAATAAAATAAATTGTATTTTTATTTTTAAGTTTGTGTTAGTTTTCATGATGGTTCTAAAAAGATTTTACCAAAATTTAAAATATCTAATTCAATTAGTTTTACCATAATTTTTAATATTTGTTTTATTCAATTAATTAATCAAAACGAACATTTAATTGAATTAGTCTGAGAATTTTTTTTTTAAAGAAAAATAGTTGAGAATTAATTAATCAAGGAAATTAAATATTTGTTTTAATTAATTAATCAAATTTTACAGACTATTTATTTAAATGGAGTAAATGTCAAACTAAAAGATCTTATGTTATTTAACATTATCATTAAAGGAAATATTTTACATCATTTATGTTCTATATGTAACATGGTGAAGATTCGAATAAAATCACAATTCATATAAAATATTAATAGGTTTTAAATATACTTTTTAATTAAAAAAAATAGTTTCAATTAAATCGAATCTTGATATAAAATAAATGTAATTTTATTTGGAATATTTGATATTTTTGAAAAAAAAATTTAATTTTCTTTAAATAATACCTCAATGTTATAATATATATGATTCTAATGGTTCGTGGCATAGCACCACAGGTTCTTTATTCCGATAGTGGTGACTTAGAGGATGGTCCCCTTTTCTATAGCTACTTCCTCAAAATATAGTTGAGCGTCGTCAATCAGTGATGTCCAAATCCAAATCCAAACAGGACCGGAGAACAGACAATCAGTTAGTTACCCCTCTGTGCAACACATTAGGGGCACTTCGTTTCTTTCATGTGTTGTCGACTATATATATATTTATTTATTTATATCTAATGTAGCTATTTCCTCCTACAACTGAGTAAATAAAAGGTGGCGTATGAACTTTTTTTGGGTATATATACACGCATACATATGATATATATATATATACATATACATATAAATAAAGGTTTAATATCGATATTAGAATTAGTCAAGTATAAATATTTATAATAATTACAAAAAATATAAGTTAATATCAATAAATACATAAAATTGAAGCCTTATATCAATATATCAATATTAATATCAATAATTTAGTCCATTAATTTTGATAAATTTAATTTTTAATAGGACTAAATTTGAGATTAATTGGAAGCAGCTAAATTAAATTTAAGCAATTAACCGTACGGAATGAAAATGACACAAATAATATTTTAACATTTTTTAAAAGAAAAATCTATGAACTCCATTTATTATTATTATAGTGCCTACCTCTTGACTTTTGACCTATTCTAACGTTGTTGTTGGTCAACTCATAGCCAGACGAAGTCATATCTTTTCATTTGAACTCAACCAACTTGTTACATTAGATGTATTTATAGTCCGTAAACATTCAATTACTCTCCTCACAACTGGGTAAGAATTCAAGAGCAATTCTTCACCATTTTGGAGAATATCGAAATGGGTGGGTCGGAGAAGGAGTTGAAAGATTTTGTGAGGGAGATTTCGGAGCTTCCTGAGTGCAATGGCGTGTGTAAGAAGATGTATGGGGAGCTGATTCGAAGAGTTAAGTTGTTGAGTCCTATGTTTGAGGAATTGAGAGATGGAGAAGAAGAACTTGGATTAGATGTTCTTAAGAGCTTGGAGTTGCTTACAACTGCTTTGGATTCTGCTATGGAGCTTCTTAGGTCGGTCAACCGAGGTAGCAAGCTCTATCAGGTATGCATTTTGTTTTTCCCTGAGGTTTTTGTTCTTAAGTTTTTTGTTTGGTTCTTGGGAATCTAAGACGATGAAACTAGAATTAGAAGTAATAATAACGTGAAAACATCTCTTTAGCAGACTCGTGTTTTAGAACCGTGAAGGGAAGTTCGAAAGGGAAAGTCTAGAACTAGCGGTTTATATGAAATTACATGGCCGATCATCAATTAGAGAGGGGAGAGAGGAAGAAAACATTAAAGGGTAGAAACTTCTCCTAGTAGATGTATTTTAAAATTTTGAAGAGAAAGTCCAAAAAGAACAATTTTGAACTATTACAGATCAATATCAGTTCATATTTGCTCTATTGTTTGAAGAACAACCTCATGTAAGTTTGGGTTTCTTTATTTGATTGGTCGAGTGTTCACTAGGGAATGAGTAATTTTCTTGAATGGTGATATCAACTTTCAAGTAAGCTTTCCCATTTTGTGTCTCAGGCTTTGCAATTGGAGAAAATGGTACTTGAGTTTCAACATAAGACACAAGATATTGCAGCAGCACTCAGCAAGCTTCCCATCGACGAGCTCGGGATCTCAGACGAGGTTTGGGAACAGGTATAGTCATAACCTCTACGAATTTTCACTGTATTGAAATTTCAACGTGCTCTTTGTTTGGAGTTTTTCCGTGGGAGGGTTGGGATTGTCATTTTAGTACCGACGAATAACTGCTTAAGTGATCTATTTCAGACTGAACTTGTTCAATCCCAATTCAAACGAGCGAAGGAGAGATTACATTTAGCTGATGCACAGTTAGACAAGGATTTAGCCATATTACACGAAGAAGAAGACCCTAACCTTGAAATATTGAAAAGACTTTCTGAAAAGCTGCATCTTCGAACTATAAACAATCTGAAGAAAGAGTCTCTAGCGATCCATGAGCTGGTGATCTCGAGCGATGGAGACCCGGGGGGTGTTTTCGGAAAAATGTCATCCATTTTAAAGAAGCTGAAGGATTTTGTACAAACAGAAAACCCAGAAGTTGAAACTTCCCAAGATAAAACAAGTATCATCATTGAACACAAATCTCCTGTCATCCCGGACGATTTCAGATGCCCCATATCTCTTGAAATGATGAGGGATCCTGTCGTTGTCTCGACCGGGCAGGTGAACGCCCAAAGTGACTGCTGCAATGCCAGTGTTTTTTGTTTCTCTCATTGTTATGCTCATCATTCATAGACTGTTTTGTGACCTTTTGCAGACTTATGAGAGATCATGCATTCAGAAATGGTTGGATTCAGGGCACATAACCTGTCCAAGATCTCAGCAGGTTTTAGTCCGTACAGCCTTAACCCCAAATTACGTTTTGAAGAGCCTGATTGCTTTGTGGTGTGATAACAATGGCGTTGAACTGCCAAGCAAGCAAGGTAGCTGTGTAAATAAGAAACCTGGAAACAGTATTTCAGACTGCGATCGGGCGGCCATCGATGCCTTACTGGTAAAACTGGTAAATGGATCTCCAGAACAGAAAAGATCAGCTGCAGGTGCGCTCCGGTTACTAGCAAAGAGGAATTCAGATAACCGAATCTGTATTGCCGAGGCAGGAGCCATTCCATTCCTTGTCGAACTATTATCCTCAAATGATACTAGGACCAAGGAGCATGCAGTTACAGCAATGTTGAATCTTTCAATCAATGATGGTAATAAAAGAAGGATAGTCGATTTACGAGCCTTACCTGCCATAGTAGAAGTGTTGAAGAATGGCAGTATGGAGGCAAGGGAAAATGCAGCTGCAACCCTTTTCAGCTTATCCGTTATCGACGAGAACAAGGTTGCGATCGGAGCAGCCCGGGCAATTCCTTCTCTTATCAGTTTGCTTTGTGAAGGTACTACCAGAGGAAAGAAGGATGCAGCCGCTGCTATTTTCAATCTTTCAATCTATCAGGGAAACAAAGCTAGAGCAGTAAGAGCAGGCATTGTTAATCCACTTATGGGGTTTCTGAAAGATTCTGGAGGTGGCATGGTGGATGAAGCTCTAGCCATTTTGGCCATTCTTGCAACTCACCATGAAGGGAAGATGGCAATAAGGCAAACTGAGCCGACAGCAATTCTTTTAGAGTTCATCAGAACTGGTTCTCCACGAAACCAGGAGAATGCTGCTGCTGTGTTGTGGTCGCTTTGCAGTACTGATTTTGAGCAGTTGAAGGTAGCTGGGGAACATGGTGCAGAAGTGGCATTAATGGAAGTATCTGAGAATGGCACAGAAAGAGCAAAGAGGAAAGCAGGAAGCATTCTAGAGCTCTTTCAACGCTTTGATGGACCATCTGCTAATCGATAAACAATCTTGCCATCAGTCCAGAAGCCTATTTGGTTTTCACATCATACAATCTCTTTTTTCATATCATAATATTATTGTATTTTTTATGAACTTTTCCTGTAGAATTCTGTTTCTCTAGCTTGAATTTTTGGAGATAAACATGAAACTCCGTTGTAAGATAAATCATGACATAACTGATTAAAAACACAAATCAATCCACAGGATTAAAAATGGATAACCAAAAATTGATAGGAAAAGTCAAATTCTTCCAGTATCCGATCTCCATCGTCCACTGATAAAAAAAAAAACCCTAAGAGTGAAAGGAACTCACATTTTTTCAGGATGTTTATGAGCTCCTAGTGAGATTGTTCCCTGAGAAGCTGACCACGAGAACTTGATGAGTCGGATTAAAAGAAATAGGTAGTGAGTTATGAAGCAATGATCAGAACAAGAACCTGAGCGCTCGGAGATTCAGAGGAGCATTATCCACATTCGGAATCTGTGCCATCGAAGTAGAAAATTTATCTTTTCGAAAACTAAAATTTCAAATAGTTATTGGTCGGGATCTAAACATTTAAAATAGACCAGAGAAATAAACGAAAGGAGAAAAAAACAAAACTTCAGATTCAATTTGTATAATATTAACCATCAATAATGTTCACCACATACATATGATATATATAAGATCATACAGAGTTGAATAAAATGCTAAGACAAATCCAGATTGGATTTAAGGCAACAAGAGGAACAGTGATATCAAAAAGAAAACAAAGAACAAAAGGAACAAATCGGGAATCCATATCTGCCTGCTAGCTAGAGCTGCTTGCCTATGGCCTTTCTGACGTAGCACCAGTCTGCATGAAAATACAAGGTGTCTTTAATGATGGGGGCAATCGAAGTATAACCATATTGATGAAAATAAAATCATCAGTTCAATCAAGCTCAGGATTTTCTACATCATTTGGGTTCAATCACTTTCATATAAAATGGAAACCATACAGGAAAATTGGCCAACAGATTTATAAACTGAGCGACGAAGATCAATCCACTTTTGTAGCTAAAGAATTGAAAATCAATTCATTAACAGTTTGAACCTATGCAATCTTGCTCTAATTAGTTTTAGAGGCTCAAACAGAGAGGGTTGGTTTCATTGGTCCCGGATCATTGACCACCGAGGGCGTTAGAAATTCAGATGAATGAACCTACGAATTCTTCCTTACCAGTGCTTCATGGTCCCCCATGATCTCTTCTACTAACTCTTCTACTGGTTTATTGGCCGCGTTGGGAACAAGAGCAGCAAAAACAGCTGGTTCAAGTCCTGTACCAAAAGAAAATGAGAAGACTGGTTGAAGTACAATCTATAAGAAAGAAACCTTCTAAGTTCTAACTAATTCACGAGATGACTCTTTCCAAAGCGAGAGAGGAAAGGGGAAGAGATTTGAATTTCATCTGACTTCTCTGATTGTGGTGTAACTATTTCATTGATAATTATCCAACGATATTAGACCCATTCTTCTTGCACAATGACAATATGGAGAGACTACAAGAATTTGCAATCTTTTAAATATACTTCTGGATTTTAAAAGATTCTAACTTCTTCAAATGAAAAAAAATAAGAGGGAAGTCCTTCAATACCAGTTTCTGGAAAAGCATCTATGAACATCATCGTTTCCTCTCCGCTAAGACCGGATAAGAAACAGATTCGAGGCAATGATTTGGCTATCTGCATAAATAATATACACAGACTGAGTACCATGACAATTGTTGCCGAGATCCACGCTCCTCCGATAAACATAAACACAATTTAGCATAATTCAAATCTATAAAAGAATGCAGACTCAACCTTGCAAGGGTACCAAGAAATATGGTTTCCTACATCAAAACCTACCTTCTTTTTGAGAACACAATCTGGCAAGCATACAATATCTCAAAACAATTAAAAATTTTAGGAAATTCAGAACTTGACCTTCACTTTTGCCAAATCTGGTTGGTTTGTATGAACTGCTTCCCACAGGGACCGATTAAACATATCTTCAGTACAAAGAATAACCTATAATAACAAAAACTGTTCCGCAGATTATTTATGCAGGCAGTTTGGCACCATGAGTTGGCAGAGATTATTAAATATACATTCAAAATGTAGGACATCTTCCATGGCATGGCAGAACCTCTTAACTTTCCACAATTAGTTTTCCAATACATTGAGCAGAGATTCTCACATTTTATTCTACTGTTCTTAGCAATATCGCCCTTTAACTTTCCTAAAAGAATGTGAATGTGATGGGAACTGAATTACCTGCATGAATTCACCGTCCAATTTTTTCAAAAGCTCTTGAATCTGTAATCAAATGTAAGCAACAAAATTAATGAGTTAGGAACAGTTTTCGATATTAGCATTCAAAAGCTAAGGATAAGCAAGGAGAGTAAAGTTTTGAGATTTTTAGAGTCATAGTGATCGAATACAAGAACTTGGAATGAAATTTTTGAGTGTTTCTTCATATAAAATAACTTAAGCCTCTTAAACTTTAACCACCCATACGGTTAGAATTGACATTTAAAAGAATCTACCTGCGAATGTCGTGATAATTTGTAAGTAAACTAAACAACACGAACTAAAAAAGTTCGCCAAATTAGAAACATCAATTTGGATTAACAATGAATCAAAATTCATCTTTCTTACAATCAAAAGAGCTTGAAACTGCCAATAAAAAACTGAAATAACTAGTTATAGTAGGTGCGAAAGAGCTAAATGAGAGACGTTAATCTTATATATTCAAACTAAGACGTTCAATAGTTTTTCCACAATCGACTTTAGACAAAATACCAATTGCCTCCTTAACTGGTTTGCTATCCCTTTCAAATTTAAGAACTCTACGCACCACCAATGACATTCAATTTCTCTTCGGCTAACAGGTAATATACTTTCAACTGGCAAGAATTGAACTGCAGAAAGAGGGGAAAACTCAAAGCTTACCTTCACTGCATCCTCCAATTCAAAGCCCAGTAACAGCAATGCCTGTAATAATGAACAGTCTGAAATTCAATTCGTTTTCTTAGACAATAAACAGACGTAGACAATCAAAGAAATTCTCTGAAAAGAAGCAACAAAAATCACGTCATGTCCCCTTCGAGAAAAGAACACTCAAGTAAAAGAAATCTTCAACAATGATGCTGAAACTAACCGGAACTTACAGGTGGACCATAAGTGGGATCATCAGCATTCAACGGAACAAACTTCGAATCCTCGATTAACTCGTTGGGAGCTCCTGTAGAAGTGAAATTAATTCCAGATTTGTAGAAATTCTCGGCAATTTCTAAGCAGGAAAAACGCGAATGAAAGTAGTAAAAGCCAAGCAAGACGCACTTCAAGCGGCAAAGGATCCTCAGGACACCCAATTCGAAGATCAAACCATAAAACATTTGCTATTTAAACACTCTTTTCAAAATTTTGCACCATCCTAGTTCCTCCATGAACAAAACACTTGGAAACAGCAGGAATCAAGACGACTGACAACAATCTAACACAGATAACAGCTGAAAACAACGTCTAGTACCTCTAATAACTCGATAACAACATGAACAAACTCAAATTTAGAGAATCGAAAAAATAACGGTGAGCATACCTTCAGAAGATGCTCTCAGAGTCCGTCGGAGCTTCAACTTGAGGGGATTACTGATAGAAGAAACGGATAGTGGCGAAATTCTTGAAGGCGAGCCAATAATGAAATGGAAAAACGTGGATGGGAGCGCGCGGGAGTTCAAAAATGCGTAGGGAGAGAAGGTTAGAGATGAAGCCATTGGAGCTCTCCGGTTTCTGTCTTATCCGCAAGCCCCTGCGCGTCTGTAATTACATTCCTGCGGTCGTCACCATAGCCCATCCCAACAGCGTCGGTCCTTAATTTTTTTCATAATCGACGTTATTAATTAATGTTTTATTTTTTAATTATTTTTTTAATCTTATTTTTCAATATAATTTTTATTACATATTTTACTAACAAAAATTTTAAAAATTTAAATTTGATATTATAACATGTCTTTAATAATATATATTTATATAAAGCGAAACGATAAAAATTATAATCATAAATACATATCATATTATGAATTATATGAATTATAAATTGATGTATAAATATAGTTCAATTTATAGAATTAATTTATATAATTTATAGATTCGTGACCAAAAAAAACATATATTAAACCTATAGTTAATTAATTCTATAAATTGAAGTATTCGTCTATAAATAAAAACAAGAAAAATGTGGAAATCTAAAACAGTACGGAATTAAAAAAACATGAAATGCAACCTATAAGAATAAAATCTAGGCCTGAGTGACGACGGCCGAAACCATAGTATTCATTCCACACATGCCATGGCCGCGGCACAGCCGATAATAACCCTGCTCCCCCCACCGTTCTCCCCAGGAGTTCTTGATAATCCAGTACGGCAATTTCCGAAACCGCAGAATCGAGAAGCCTTCGTCGCCGTACCCGACCAGAAGAACGCCGTGGTTCACGAATCTCTTCCCGCAGATCAAGGGACAGGATACGCCGCCGATGTAAGTCTGCATGAACACGGCGTTGAGTCCGACGGCGAGCGGGCCGCGGTGGACCAGGTGGGCGGCGATCTGGTCCTCGTCGATGGGAATGGTGGTGAAATTGGAAACTCTGACCGCGATTTTGTGGGACTGGAAGTTGCATTCGCCGCGGTGGCCGGTGTACGGGTATGAAGATTCCTCCTCGAGGCCGCCGGATTGGATTAGGTATTTGTAGGCGTTGGTCATTAGGCCGCCATTGCAGCCGTTGTTGCAGGCGGTCTTGTCCGTTGGATCGCACTGCGGAAGATGAAACGTTCAGATTTGGATTAGGGTTTAGGGGTAGGGAGGGAATTCGGGAGGAAATTACTGACCGTGTGGTCGCAATCCACGAGCTGTTGCTCACTGAGGCTAAGTAGCTTTCCGGTGGCTATGAAGTTCGCGCCCTCCACTGCCCCACACGTGCTGAATGCCCAGCACGATCCGCACGTGCCCTGCCCAACCATAAACAGTTACGAATATTAAATATATTTTTTAAAAAAAATTACCCAAATTTTCACTCAAATTTACCTGCATCTTAACCGCAGTAACAGCCCCCTTCTCCCGCCAATCAAACCTCTCCGGCAATCCCTCCGCCGTCATCTCCTCCGCCTGATTCATCTCCAGCAACTCCGCTCCCCCTACGCCGCCTCTCACACCCATAAACATCAGCTCAAACTCCTCCTCCGACAAGTCCGAGAACTGCGTCACGCCATGCATGGCAGTCGGATCCAACGCCTGGTGTTCCGCCGCCCTCACCAAATTCTTAGCAAAAATCCCCAACCGGTGCAAATACTCCTTCCTCGTCGGATAGCTTTTCCCGTACTTCTCCATAAACATCACGAACTTCCTCTCGCTCCCCGCCGGGAGACTGTTGATAATCTCGCCGTCGGTGATTTGGCGTAGGAATTCCGGTCCCTGGCGGAGAGCGGTGGCGCAGGCTAGCAATGTGAGGCTAAATGCGCATGTTAGAAGGAGGGATACCGACCTTTCCATTTTCTTTCACTGTGTTGCTTTGATTAGCCTTCTGCCGTCTGCCAGCCTCTTTTCTAGCTTCGTCTTCGTGACGGTTTACAGATTTCAAGTAAGTGCAAAATTACCATTCTGTCCATGAAAATATATGACTTACGAATTCCTGATTTAAAAAAAAAAAATATTTGTTATCTCCTAAGCTTACTGGAAATTGATAAACCGACATGAGGGTATAATTGTAAATGAGGATGTGAAAGTATAGGTGGCAAGTCGATATAGGTGTCTCCTTATAAAAGCGACACGTAATGACCATGTATGAATCGTGGCATCCGCCTCTTCGTGTATCATGGAGGAGTCAGAAATCTGCATTGGTATTGCACCTTACGACGCCGTATTAACGATGAATGATATGTGTGTTTGTTTTATGTAATTACTCTATAAATTTAATATTAAACTATTATTTATTTCTTCGCAATTTAATTTTTTTATGAGATATTAAAAAATAATATATAAATTATTTGTATTATAAAAGGTAAAACTTATTTACTTATTGGATAATTTAATTTATTCATACTGTTTGCTAGACAATAAATTAAAATTTTATATCTTTAAATATTTAAATATGTCACAACTTATTTAACACAAAAATATAATTTAAAAAATAACGTTGTGTGAATAATTGTAAATCTATAAACTAAGCTCTAACAGTTAAACATAATTAAATATTGTAAATATTGTGGACTTGAGGGACTAGGGAACAAAAATATAATAAATCACCTCGGAAATGGTAGGTACACATTAATTAATTTAATATGATCATTCAAGTCGACAATATTGACTATATTTAGCTTTTAAATATATTATTTAAATCATCACATTTATTATTTCAAAGTGGCTTCGCCATAAAAACAAATATTTTAATTGCATAATAAAATAATAAAACAAAAATTATCCATGCAACCAAAAAATAAATAAATTAAAAGCTAAAACGACGACGTATTAATCATCTATTTGTTCATCGCAGCATTCGCCACCTCAAATTGCAATTAATTTAATATAATATTGTTTAAAAAAATAAAATGACTAATTTTGGTATTTTATTTAGCTGACGTGGTCCCCGCCTTCTAATTCCATTTTGCGGGATTGGATAAGAAGAATAACCACGTGGCTCAATCTTAGTGGCAGATGTAGGTAGTGTTTGGTAATTGCAGACATACCTAATGTATCGTCAAAATATCGCGATACGATTGTTAAACAGCGATATATTTTGTTCCAATATATCCGGAAACACGACAAAATGAAGATCCATTTTTAGAATCCGACCCGCTAACTCCTTGAGTTGACCGTTCCAAAATATCTCTGATATTTTTCCCGCCGCCTAAATATCTATTTACTTAATCTTTAATTTGATTATTATTTTTTTAAATTCCACAATTTATAAAATTAATAAAAAAAACCGATATTATAATGCACATACTATTTATTTTTGGTATATCATGGAAAATAATTAAAAGGCAGATATAATAAAATATAATAAAGTTTTGAATTAAATTAATTTCCATATATATATATATATATATATATATGTATTTTTCAATAATGCAATATTATTTCAACTTTCACCTAATAGAGAAGGCTATTAATGTATATTCATTGAATTTTGCAGTTTATAATTTAATATTTATGGGAAAACCATACTTTAAGATTTTGTTTTATATTTTAAAAAAAAGAGATTTATAAAAGTTTTGAAATTAAGTTGGAAATTTAAATTAAATTGCAATAAATAATAATTATTAATTAAAAATATTAAATATCGCTGTCCGTGTCTCCGAATTCCTCAACTAAAAGCAAAGAAAATTTGGATAAAAGAAATTGAGAAGGGAAAATAAAGGCACCAATCCAGAAAGAAAATCCAGTGGGAAAAAGCGCATAAGAACAGGAAAAGGGGGGCGGATGATATCTTCTTCGTGTATTTCACCAGATTTTACTTTCTTTGGACGGCATCTCCAATCCATTTGCTCCACTAAACATTGCAAGACTGCAGTTCATCGAAGAATTAGAACAGCTTGTTGGATTTTCTCGCTGTTTTTGAATGGTGAAGGAAAGGGTTGAAGGTAGAGTGTACGGAAGCTGAGACAATGGGCATTTTGTATGAGGATTCTGTGGTTATTACTCATGGAGAAAAGTCTGGCGATCCTCATGTTATCACTGTGAATTGTCCTGATAAGACTGGACTTGGATCCGATCTGTGTAGGATCGTTTTGCTTTTTGGTTTGAGCATTTCAAGAGGAGGTAAACACTTGAAGAATTCTTGTATTGTTTAGATTTGCTTGGTGATTTCACTGAAAAACTTGTGTGTTCTGAGATTTGTAGTGATTTTGATATAATCCAACATGGATTAGGGATTGTTCAAGTTTTTTTCCATTTGATCTGTTGATCCGTTTAGTACTCTTGATTAAGTTCTTCGATGTTTTTGTGGGAGCAGATTTCTCGACGGATGGGAAATGGTGTTATATAGTGTTCTGGGTTGTGGGAAAGCCGAGTACCAGGTGGCCTTTGTTGAAGAAGAGGCTGTTGGAAGTTTGTCCTTCCCATTTTTCCACTACAGGGATACGTTTTTACCAGCAAGATAAGGAGATTCAGAAACCTCCAGATGTTTTCCTGTTGAAATTTTGGTGTTCTTCTCATCCTAAGGGCTTATTGCATGGTAATTGTTTGAAATCTTTTGAATTCACGTTGTTTGATGCATATATGCTTGTTGAAAGATCATTGGATCTTCTTCTGTTGGTCTTGTTCCTGAAGTGCCTGCAATATGTGTTCGTTAATGTTCATGTTTGCCTATAAGTTCCTGATTAATCTGTATGGATTTATAGATAAGACTTTAGTTCTTGGGATGTATAAGAAACGAAGGCGATTTTCCAATAGCTAAATATTCCGGTCGTTGAAGAACAGTAGCTTGGGGATTGTTATCTGGTTCAAGCTCTTTGTCTCGAGGACCATCTTTAATGGTTTGCATGTCAGCAATAGCAACAGTTGAATCAGGAAGGCTAACTTCAATGGTAGGGGTTGGGTAGCATTAGTTCTTGGAAAATAGGATATTCTCGGTTACGGGTTGACACCAGATTCCTTATTCGTCACTTTGCATTTGTGACGATCATGACCTTGTGCAATGCATGTAGAACTCAGGTCTTCAAAAATCAACGTTTTCTTGCTAGTGATCTATACATGCACAGTTGATCCTATCAAAACATGATTTGGGAGGTTTTCCTTGATAAGACCGATTTCTACCCAAACCCGGGGGGGCGTGAGACAAGCTTCATAGGACTTTCAAGGGTCAAGCCAATTCCGAAAGTCGAGACGATAGAAAATAGACGAAACTCAAAGAAGACAGCAGATGGAGTCGCGATACCGGTGCATGCATTGGATCACCATATCGACTTTTTAAGTGCTTAACAAAGTGTTTCTAAGTATTAGGCATTTAGAAAGTCAATCCAAACAGAATTCGAGTCATTTGACTGGATTACAATTTACTTTCAGCTTTGATGAACTTTGATTCATGTTTCATTATAGTTACATTTGCACCCTATGCCAATTGACCTGTTTCATTATGTTCTTCTTCTGTAGATGTGTCTGAGCTCCTTTGTGATCTAGAACTAACAATAAGAAGGGTGAAGGTTTCGACTGCGCCGGATGGAAAAATGATGGACCTCTTCTTTATAACCGATACAAGGTTCGTCATTCATGATATTGTATTACATTGTGTCGTAGCCATAAATATCCTTTGAATATGTATGAATCTAGAATTCAATATCTGGAACTTGAATGGATTGCTTGAATCTTGTGGTGTGATCCTGTTTCTACCTCATGCTCAGCTTATATATAGCTCTTACTTGTTTAGACAATCTTGTTCAAACCGTTATGATTTTTCTGTCGAAACTCTTACAATCAGAGAACTTTTTCGCACGAGAAAGAGACAGGAGGAGACGATGCACCGCTTGAAAGCCATTTTGGCAGATGTCCTAATGAGTTGTGAGATCGAATTAGCTGGCCCGGAGTTTACTGCATGCTCACAAGGCTCACCATATCTACCTTCCTCCATTGCTGAAGAATTGTTCAGTTTGGAGCTGCCATTTGGACCTCCTAACCGACACCTTCCCTCGAACTCAGTTGTTGTCGATATGGACAATGCCATCAGCCGTTCTCACACCGTTCTTCAGCTTCTTTGTCTAGATCACAAAGGTCTTGTTTATGATATCATGAGAACTTTGAAGGATTACAGCATTCAGGTATTCATTCCCCTTTACGTTCCAGTCCTGCATTGCCCAGTCTTCACTTATTTGACGAACAGCATTTGATTGACTTCTCAGGTTTCTTATGGACGCTTCTATATCAATTCAAAAGGAAAATGTGATGTTGAGTTATTCACAATGCAATCAGATGGCAGTAAGATAGTCGACTCAAACAAGCAAAATGCTCTATGTTCCCGTCTAAGAATGGAACTCACACGCCCTCTTCGAGTCACCGTAGTGAGCAGAGGTCCCGACACAGAGCTTCTAGTAGCCAACCCAGTGGAGTTATCTGGCCGTGGTCGCCCCCTCGTCTTCCACGATATTACATTGGCACTCAAACATCTCAACACGAGCATATTTTCGGTACTCATTCATTATCAAACTCTTACCAATGATAGCTTGACATTGTGTTCTTACTACTAACTGATAAACTCGTTCATAGGTGGAGATAGGAAGGCACATGATCCACGATCGGGAGTGGGAAGTTTATCGAATTTTACTCGACGAAGGTGACATCGTTTCGGTGCAACAGACCAAGATCGAAGAGGGCGTTAGAAATATACTGATGGGATGGTAGAACTTGAAACTAAGAGTTTGTACAGTCTGGGGAGGGTGTAAATGAGAGTTGATGGTGGTGTTTTTATAACGTTAAAATTTGCCAGTTTTAAGTTCTAATCCATAAACTCCATTTTCTTACCTATTTCACATTCTATAATAAATGTAATTAAAATGTTATAATTCTCGATTAGTTCATATTTTATTAAAGAGGTAAATATATAAAAATATGAAGTAAAATAGATTAAATTTTATAATTTAGGGGTGAAAAAAAATAATTTAAAAGTATAAGGGCATAATTGAAATGATATTTATAATTTTTATAAGATGAAAAAATAACTTAGATGCATCGTGTAATTTTGGAGGAGAATTTATAAAAAAATATATATATTATACTCAAAATTTTATTAAATTTTCACTTAAGCCCTTCAAGTTTAGTTAAATTAATGGATGAAGAAGTTTCCTTCATCTAAGCCAAACATATACGAAATATATATATATAGCGTATATTTACGAGTTACTTTCTAGGGTTATTGAGGAATCTTTAGAAACGAAATCTATCAGAATATTTCACTCCAACCGCGCGAACCAGGTATTTCCCTCTCTCCACCTTCTCAATTTTCTCCTAATTCTTACTATCAATTGTTCCTTACGGTAGGAAACACTGGATTCTCTTCGTTTTCGCTGATTTTCGTCTAACATTTTGCTTCGATTTGCCAAACTACTCTGGGTTTTGTTGTGCAGGAGGATTTTTTTTTTTTTTTTTTCTGAAATCCGGAGATTGGTATGGCTGGGAGAGAGGAGTACCGAATATTTGTGGGAGGGTTATCGTGGGACATCACGGAGCGTCTGCTTGAGAATGCCTTCAGTCGATTCGGCAAAATTATCGATTCTCAGGTTACCATTTTTATGTATATTACTTGATTTGTGGTTTGATCTGTATGGCTGAAAACTGAAGCAATTGGACTTCGTTTTAACCTAACACGTTGGAATAAGAAATCCATTTGTTTCCTAATATGAGAAGAAAATAGATTAGATTGGTATCATTCTGGTTCATTGTTCATATGGAGGATATAATTTCTCAAATTCCACTCCCTTCCCTCTAATTAACATTTCCTTCTGATGATAGCATGAAAAAAAAAAAAAAAAAAAAACCACCGATGAATTGTAAGATTAACTTTTATCATCGAAAGCCATAATGTTTTGTTTTTTCAGCATTGTTTTGTGGCACCTGTAATTTTTCAGCAACCTCTTCTCTTTCTGATGATGTTTCTTTTCCCCTTGTGAATGAGGATGCTGTTAATAAACTTTTTGGGAAGCGGGTTCTCTATCCACGTAACAATGCACCAAGATGCTGAAGGTCATAGGCTTGTATGTGCTTAACTATTATCTGATTTAAGATCTGCTAGCAAAGAAATAGTGCTACCGTCTGGAAATTGGGAATATGGTCGCCTGCCTAGCTGATTGGGGTTTGGTAGGATTTTAATATGCAAATGCAGCGACTAATTGTTTCTGTGGGATAAAAGAACTTGTCACTTTTTCGCGACAGATAAATGATTTAAAACCGGAGGAACTTTTAACAAGTGCTGTGCTGACGCCTGCTTCAGTAGACCTTTCTTGTTTTATTGTTCGTTGATGTTTTTGATGACGAAACTGAAGTCACTAAAATGTTTCAGCATCTGACTAATAAACGTTCTAGTATTTGCATGGAGAATTTTATCTTGCTTGGGATGATTATGAAACCCTACATCTTATCCTTGGCTTACCGCAATTACCAATAGTATGACTAAAATTTATGATGAAGGTTATGTGGTTATTTGAGATGATGTACATGGGGCAGAAGGTTTGGTATAGATTGCCATATTGACTCAGATAATGAGTTTGCTAAATCTAATCTCAGAAAATCTTCAGAAGCTGTATGTTATTGGATGGAAAGTTATGTTGTATGAAGATGGTTTCTTACTTGTGGCTGCTTCTTTGCAATGCTTTCTTCGTTTTCCTATCTATAACTGCAATTATTATCAAAGTGAGAGATAGCTGGTTTTCTCATTTGCTAGTTTCACCGGTGTTGAGAGTTGTCAGTTTGATTCTAAGATGGAGAATACGTAAAAGTGGTGCATCCTTTTTGGCTAAGATTTATGGTAGTGTGGAAAAGTACAATTTTTGGAAATCAATAACCATTTCATCCTTTTGAGTGGACACTGCATTGTTGAATTTCATTTTGCTGGGATGAAGTTGTCAGCGTCCCTTACTTTTCCAGGCACGCTCCGAAAGTTGTTTGTACTGGTTTCTGTTTAGCAGCTAATGTGGCTAGAATGGCACTAGCGATGCCAGGCTTAGCAGCTCAGACATTTTTTTTGAAGAATTGACCAATCTGCATCGGTAGTCTTTAGTTTGACATGTATTCGGCATTGCATGATGTCAGCTGAATTGTAAATGTCAGTATGAGGACCTATTCTGATCAGTTGTCTTCTCTGGCGAACTTGTTAAGATACTATGTGGTGGACAGAACAGTGGACATTGATGTGGATATTTTTGTCATTCAAAGCTTCCAGAGCTCTTAAGGCCTCTGATGTTGGACTCCGTTTTCTGTTATGACCTAGCATTATGAATGTCTGTTTGTTGGGTATAATACTGGATCGGAGCAATTGGATTTGAAGTTAAATTTGAGTTCCTATAGGTGCAGTGTTGCAGGTTGGGGTTTTTTTTTTATGAGCTATTTAGATGAATGGATTTAGGTTGTGGCAACCTGTGAAATTATGGAGCTGTAGTTTTCCATTCATTTGTTTACATCCTTTTCTCGTTGTTTGAAGTTGTTCCTGAAGATTGGTCAAGAATGCTCTGCTATTTTGTTTTCCTTTTTTATGGTGTTGATGTGCTAGTTCCCTCATATTAATACTCATTGACAGTCTTTGTCAATCCTTGAATATGAATATGTTCCTAGTTAAGTATGGTTGCCGTGCAAGATTTATCGTCATCAAGTTTTCCAGTACAGCCTCTTGTCCACAAACTGAAGGGATCTCAATCACGGAATAAGTTGGCATCTCCATTGCTTGAAATTTTACTGTTTTAGTGAACCTTGCCTTCGTCTCCTAAAGCATTCATCCTGGAAGATGTGTTGTTTTAAGTATTCGTCTTTCTTTTTTGAGATTTATGCCACTCTCTCTTTCACATCACATCCTAATATGATTGATCATGTGACCGCTTTGTTGAGGTTAACAAATCCCATAGTTGGAAGTAATACACATATCCAGTGAAGTGTTTGTACTGGGGTTTTTTGAGTTAACATGAATTTTGAGTGCCATTTTGGATGCCGGACTGCACAGAAGAAGTCCATTTAGCCACTTTTTTAATGGAATTGTTTCTTTAAATAAAAGGGGACTAGAGAGGTCTAAGATATTCCCACTTCAGAACATAGAGATAAAGACGTACAGGCTCTTTTGTTTTGTTAAGGAATTATGTAACATGTTGCAATGAGTTCATCATAAATGGAAGAAAAATGTAAGTGTTCCGACTGTTTAGTTATATATTTTAAAACATATTTATGCTGTTATTATCAATTGCTATAAGTTTAAACTTTGAACATTCTCTTTGATGTACTTTTTAGAGTGTATACCGTCGCCAGCTTGTACCCTTAACTTATTCTATTATTCTGCATTCTCTTAATGCAATGTAGGCTTGTAACCATGTTTGATGATAATTTGGAGTTTGAAACCTCCAACTTGTAGATCTGTCAACTGTATGGTATCGAATTTATACATCTTGACACTGTCACAATTGTATTTGTGGGCTTCAAGCCCAAGAGTGGGTATAGTATTCCATGCTCTTAGATTAACTCCAAGGTTGTCAACTAGGATCTTAAATACCAAAACAAAGCCTCCTTATATTAGTGGTTAGGCTATAGCCTGATAGCCTGTCATCTTTGAATATGAAGTGGGAATTTTGGCGGTTTATTTATCTTTAATTGTGATGGTCTTCATCCTTGTTTCTGATGCCGATTTTTGTTACATTAGACAAATTTACTACATAATCTAGGTTTAGACTAAGCTGATGGCAGGTAGGCTTGAAGTTGTCACTTGTATACATTATTAGTATGAGATGTTCTTTACTAGCTCTGGTTTAATGACTTGATTTAAGTTTTATTGGCTGTTCAATTGATTGGCGTAAACTACCTCTTTGATGTTTCTGTAGATCATGTTGGAAAAGAATACTGGCCGCCCACGTGGCTTTGGGTTTATTACATTTTCAGATCGTCGGGGAATGGATGATGCCATCAGAGAGATGCATGGACGGGAATTTGGAGAACGAATCATTTCAGTGAACAAGGCTGAACCTAAAATGGGAGAAGATATAGACCATGGTTACAGGGGGGGAGGAGATAGATCTGCGAGGCAAGATGAATGCTTCAAATGTGGGCGTCATGGACACTGGGCTAGAGATTGTCCTTCAGTGGGTGGTGGCCGAGGAAGGGGAGGAGACTCGTTTCTTACACGTTCTCGGCTTGGGGATAGTGATCGTGGGGATCGCTTTGCTGGAGATAACAATCGATATGTGGATGATCGTTATGAAGGTGGCGGGCGCTTTGGAGATCGGGATCGTTTTGATAACAGCAGGGACAGCAAATATGGAACTCGTGATCGCTATGTCAGTGAAAGGTACTGACTGATATTTTCTCTGGATTTTTGTGGCATTATTTTCCCTGCATAAAATATTCTTAAAATTTATGCTTTAAAGTAATGATCAATAGGAATTGATAAATGGGCAGAATGGAGATCCTATGTCATTTCTTTTGCTTATTAATCGGAGTCACTGCTCAATTATTTTCTTGCACCATCATATAGTTGATCGATCCTCTCATTCCTGATCTTATATGTAAATTTGGTCTTATATGTAAATCTGCAGATACCCACCTGGTGGAGATCGCTTTGGTAGCAGTAGGTACAATAACGATTCTGATCGTTTTCCCATAAATGGCTATGGCAAAGATAGGGGGTATTATAGAGATGGTGGACCTCGTGGGGTTGATAAGTATGGAAGTGGCGGTCCAGCACGTGACGAGGGAAGAAGCTACAGGAACAGACCAGCTCCTTATGATCGCCCTAGCCGAGGTGGGCGGCCATCCTCATTTGATCGTTATTGAATGTTTTGTTGTTAGATAGCGCACATTTTCTGGTTTATCTAGTAAAAGTGTACTACATGCTGGGTGTTGTGCTGTTAGTTATCTAGGATTTAGTTGCAGTACCGTGGCCCGACCGACAGACAGATTGTTGCGGTTTCGTCTAGCTTTCATGTATCTGATTTTTTGTTCAGAGACAAGATAAATGCTCTGAAGAACGATGAATGGACAGAGACAGATTTAAGTTGACAATTTTGTGATTCCTAAAATGTTGAGCTGATTGTCGGACTGAGCTGACATACGAAGGTTGAGTCGGGGGACCCCGAGGCTCGTTTGAATCGTAAGCCACAAAACAGATTAGTAAATACAATTCTAGAAGCAAGAGGCTCCTCTCCATGTTTGTGTATTGAGCAGCACCTAGTTCTCTGCCGGATAGAGCTATCATAGAGGAAGTATGAAGCTTGAAATTGGCCTCTCCATAAGCACCCAGAACCCTCCTGTCGGATTTATGTCATTTACGTCTTCTATCAATCAGAAATTCAAATAATATCTCGTTTGGATGAACTGTTATTATGAAGCTTGAAATTGGCACCAAGAACTCTCCTGTCGATCTGAACATTGGTCAATTAAGATTTACGTCATTTATGTCATCTATGGATCAGAAATTCAAATAATATCTCGTCTGGATGATCGGGCAATAAAGCAGCTGTCATTTTTGGATAAACTCCCACAAGTCCAATGGTGTGATAGATGAATTCCAAATCATTGACAATGGGCAAATATGATGACCATAAAACAAATATTGAATGTATTGATATCATCTTTATCTTTTGGTTGAATCTTGAATATGCTTCTTGGAACGAAATTAATTGAAAACTATACTCTCTGGCTGTCCATCTTCTGGCATCATATTCACAAGTCAACCTCCATGTTCTTGGGAAAGTAAAAACATTTATATTTAATTATACATAGCTTTCTATGTAACGTTACATAATTTCCATTCCTATTTAATATGTAATATTGATGTGATTTGATGGACTTTTTGAAACTGACGTTAACGTAACATTGTAATATTATTATTGGTCTGTCATGTGACCCATTTCATTAAAATATATGATATAACCTATTCAAATTTTGATTTTCTAATACATCGAGAAGATTTGAATCTTTAGCTTCACTAAAAGTATAGATTAATTTCTACTTAAGACTAGTAACGTAAATACGCGACAGACGTTTACTCTCGCCCTCGACCAAGTCAACTAACTAAACTTGAGTCATTGTTGGCACAGATAACATTTGTTTCGGCCTCCGACCCCACTCTTGAAAAGCAATTTGAGAAAACACTATTATTATAAGTTAGCAAATAAACAACGAACAACAACGACAACGATAAGCATGACCATGGCACTATGTTCATGTTGGATATTTAAATTTTGTTATGTGAAATGCAGATCTTACACGGTAAATATTGCATCACATTATATAATAGTTTTTGTTATATGAGATATCGGGCCAGACTTCAAATCTTGAAAATAGAAAATTACTAATTTGAAAAACCTAATTAACCTTTTCTTTTTAGGCTTATTGAATGCATTAATGAAGGTTAAATTTGGCAGGTAAGCACATATCCTCTTGACTCATAGTAGCCATTTTCATATTATCCAACTATATGTCTTATTAGTTTAAAACATATAACAATATAATTAATTAAAAAAAATCCAAAAAAATCGAAAACTTGAATCATGGCACAAAATACTCCAACAATATTAATATTTGAATAATATTTTAATTAGGCTTTAGGCTTTGGTGATTTGAAAATTATTATTATTATTTTATGCATCCCTGCCAAACTATTGACCAACTATTTTGTCCTATGTGACCATATGTTCCATTTTTATTTTTTTATTTATACGAATCTTTTCTGCTTCCGACATCTATTTGGGTTAGTTCAATTTTTTTAATTCAACATATAAATGTAAGAAATATAGTATTTAACATTAAAAATATATGTATTACCAAGCTATGGTTAAGTTAATTGATTAAAAAAAAATGATATGAAAAGATTGTGTAGTTAATATAGAATAATACTTTATATTCGAATATTTTGAATTTCATAAGTCTTTATAAGTTAATATATATGAATTATATAATAAGGTTTAAATGTCATTTTCTTTGACTATTGAATTTATTTGTCTTATAAAGACCATTCAAATGTAAAGCGTATAATTTTAAAACTGTTCAACTTTTTTATTTGTACCAAATCAATCCCGAAATTTTTAAAAATATATGATAAATTTTTTAGCTTTCGATTTTATGGTGTTTTTTAGTATCAAAAAGTGTTTGTAAGTCTATTGATATAATAGATCGAGTTAATCGTGTAGAAGAAAAAGTAAAATAGAAGCTGATATGTAGTCTCGTTGTTTGATGTCTCGATGCATCTCCTTCTCTCTTTAGCATTGTCCCACTTGGAAAGAAAGAGTTTAAAGCTTCGATCTGACTTGTGGGCCTCTTGACATAAAATGAGGAGGCGAGTCACTTTCAAATTCAAAGTGACTTGTGAAGATTTGTTTGAAATTTTTGCGGTTGAACGGAATTAGTCTGAAACTTTCTATACAATAAACTCATGACCGACCGAGTCAAAAAAAATAATAATACTAATAATAATATAGCATATGTTGTGAATAAATTTATAAATATTAGAATATAAAGGAGCTCATAACCTTGAAGTCACGGGTTCAAATCCTGTCTCCGCAAAATCAAATTTTTTTGTCTAAAAAATTTAGGTTTGATCTTGGTAACTATTAATATTAGCTTTTTTTTCCTTCTGGGAGGAAAAGAAGGGGGAGGATAGAACCACTATACTATCACGGTCAACTATACTGTATCAAAGCTAGCCACATGACAAGGATCGGGGGGCCAAGCCTTTAGGTTGTTTAAGTAGGTTGGGCTAGGTTAGGTTGATCTTTTGGAGTGATCTTCAATCAGGGTTCTCGCTCCCTTCATACGCCTTGCAGCTTCATCTAAGTGGGTTTGGGCTAGGTCGTTGCGCTCCTGCCCCACCTCTTAGCACACTAACATCTCTTTTTCCTCCGACCCGGGGATTACCCGCGATTGGTAATGACATAACCAGAAGAGGGGTAGGGAAAAGAAGGTTACGCGCGGGTTAGCGCACCGCAAACATGTGATAATTCTTTCTTTTCATTTTTTTAGTTATTAGGTTTCATAAAGTTTCAATATTTTAAATATTTTAATCCTTGTACGATAATGTTCGTATTGGACCTTGTGCTTACATTATATTATTTTTAATACATATATTAATTAATAAATAAGTCTAAGCTTAGTTTTGTTTTATCCCATAAATCTATTTTTTTAAAAAACATTAAATTTCACCAGTGGAGACATAAATATATATTTTTGGAAACACAACTTGGCTTCTTTATAATTACTGTCGTAAGTATATATTATAAAATTTAATCTCATCATGTCCGATGATAATCTAACCCAGGTTGACTTACGTTGACATTTTTTTGGTCAAGTCAACCGACCAACTTAAAAATATGGTGACAATCTTATGGTACTCTACTTTTAAGATTGTTATAAAAATTAAAAATATTCGACATTTATAATTTATGTTAGTAATGTGGGTTCGTTTACGTTGTAAATTCTATTCTAGTTGTTCGGGTTTCCAACTTAACCAACTCGAAATATCGAATTGATCTAAAAGATTTATTTAACATAATCGGTGTTGAAGATTTGATTTAGAACCGAGTAATATTTAGTGTAAAAAGAAAAGTCGAAAGTACACGTGGGATCGGATTTAAAGTATCCCGGGGCTGTGGGACATGGGATAGTGACATGAATTAAATTAATCTTCCATTTGGACTCTTAAGTCAAATAAAGTCTCCAATTTTATTTCAAGAAATTTATATATTTTCCTTTACAACCCCAAACTACCCACTCTCTCTCCCTCTCTCTCTCCATATTCCTTTTTTTCTCCGAAAATGGTGGCCGGCGGTGGAATCTCCGGGTGCTCCGACATCAGCAGCATCGCCGTCCACGTCATCACAGGGAGGTGGTTCGTGGTGTTTGCTTCCCTACTAATCATGGCGGCAGCTGGAGCAACCTACATGTTCAGCTTGTATTCCAGCGACATTAAGTCAGTTTTAGGTTACGACCAAACCACGTTGAATTTGTTGAGTTTTTTCAAGGATTTGGGTGCAAACGTGGGCGTTTTGTCTGGGCTTATCAACGAGGTTACACCGCCGTGGGTGGTTCTATCCATCGGCGCCGTTATGAATTTCTTTGGTTACTTCATGATTTGGCTCGCCGTTACAGGAAAGATCTCTGCCCCTAAAGTTTGGCAAATGTGTCTCTATATTTGTATTGGAGCTAATTCTCAATCCTTTGCCAATACTGGTTCCCTTGTTACATGTGTCAAGAACTTTCCCGAAAGTCGAGGCGTTGTTCTCGGTAAGTATTCGTTCGTTATATTTCACGTCCCTCAACTTATTATTTACTCACAAAAGTAAATAAAATTTTATTTAAATCATTTATCTTATTCAAATTTTAAATATAAAATATTTTTAAAAGTTTAAGACAGTAATTATTAATTACTAATTAAAAGAATAATAATAAATAAATGACAGAACTTTACCGTTAAATTCAGGTATCTTGAAGGGCTACGTTGGGCTGAGCGGCGCCATAATCACACAACTCTTCCACGCTTTTTACGGCGGCGACACCAAATCTTTAATTCTCCTCATCGGATGGCTGCCGGCGGCGATATCCTTTGCATTTTTACGAACAATTCGGATAATGAAAGTGATCCGACAGCCAAACGAGCTCAAAGTCTTCTACAATTTCCTCTACATTTCTCTAGCTCTCGCCGGATTTCTAATGCTAATGATCATCATAGAAAGCAAAACAGAGTTCAGTCAGAGCGGATATGGCGGCAGCGCCGCCGTTGTCCTTCTCCTCCTCTTCCTCCCACTCGCCGTCGTCATCATTGAAGAATACAATCTCTGGAACCTCAAAACCGCCGCCGCCACCGCCGCTGCCATTAGATCTCCAAATCACCCTGTTCAAATCGTAACAGAGAAAGTCCCAAAAACAGAGCATCAAAAACAACCATCATGCTGGACAACAATCTTCAACCCACCAGAACGCGGCGAGGATTTCACAATTCTCCAAGCCCTTTTCAGTGTTGACATGTTTATTTTATTCTTAGCAGCAATCTGCGGCGTCGGCGGAACATTAACAGCCATCGACAATTTGGGTCAAATCGGAATGTCTTTAGGATACCCAAAACAGAGCATTAGCACATTTGTAACACTCGTTAGCATATGGAATTACCTCGGCCGAGTAACCTCTGGTTTCGTCTCTGAAATCGTCTTAACTAAATACAAATTCCCTCGCCCTTTAATGCTCTCAATGACCCTTCTCGTGTCCTGTGTCGGCCATTTGATGATAGCATTCGATGTCCCAAATGGGCTTTACGTGGCTTCCATCGTAATCGGATTCTGCTTCGGAGCACAGTGGCCGTTGATTTTCGCCATAATTTCAGAGCTATTTGGGCTGAAATATTACTCCACGCTTTACAACTTCGGGTCGGTGGCGAGCCCAATTGGGCTTTATGTTCTGAACGTGAAAGTGGCCGGAAATTTCTACGACAGAGAGGCGGAGAAGCAGCTGAGAGCAAAAGGGATTGTTAGAAAAACAGGGGAAGAGCTGAAGTGCTTTGGAGGGGAGTGTTTTAAGCTCTCGTTTCTGGTAATCACCGGAGTTACTTTGTTGGGTATGTTTGTTTCATTGATTTTAGTGATTAGAACGAGGAGTTTCTACAAGAGTGATATTTATAAGAAGTTTCGAGACGAAGCTGAAACAGAGATAGCCGGAAATGGCGCTGTAGTGGCCGCCGAACCGCCGGAAGAGACGAGAAAATGATAGGGGAGCATGTTGGCCCGACAAGGAGAAGAAAATTAAAAAAAAAAAAAATCAAAAGAAAATATTAAACTCTAAGTTTGTTTTCAATGATTTATTATTTCCCTTTGCCCTCATTCATATTTCATAATGAATATGACATTTGCAAATATTAGAGGTTACTTCGAAAAATAAGAGCTTTTGAATGCTTCGAAAATAAAGTACATTAGTGAGTCTCCTCTTAAGATACACGACTCCCGTCTTCCCTAGAGTACATTGTTGGTCCAATAAAATTCCAGTACGAATTTTTTAATTAAGATACGTGGAACTCCGAATTGAAATAAAAATTAAATAAAAGAATAATTTTTTTTTTTTCATTTTTATGTCCCACATCGTTTAGTATGAAAATGTTTAGCTATAATTTAATGAGAGGGAAGACCCAACTTTCTTGGGCGGTTGTCCCCACGTGGTCCTTCTGGATTAATTAATGAGGTGGAGTTCCCCTTTCAAATCAAGCAAAATGAAGTATTATTTAATTTAATTTTTTTTATTGGGTATTTTATAATACTATTTATTGAACATCGTGACTTTGTAAGTTACGTATTTATGGCTTAGTATATGATTTCTATGTCTCATTTTTCAATTTCAACCTTAATTTTATAACATTTTATTTTCATATTTTCTGTCACGCATTAAAAAATTGACCTATGGGTCCTTACAATAATATTTAAATATCAAATATTATATATATTTTTTAATCTTCAAAATTAATTTAGGTTATATCTGAGTTTGGAGAAATAAATTCTCTCCCAATGTCGTTTGAATGGTATCAAAAGAAAAGGTTATTTTCGACACGTTTTATGACATTCTCGAGAGATGTAAGCCTTATTCGAACTATCTCGGTGCAACTTATACAAAGCTACGAGAAGTTATGTTCTTCTCGACGATCATGTCCAACACAACTTTTTGTGAAAAATACTTGCACTCTTTATTAACACCAATCTATAAAAAATTACAAGACACTCCGTAAAATATTACTATATTTTGCTATCTAGCGAATACGGTTTGAAATTTTTTGGGATGGAAACCTCGGAAGGAATGAGATAATTTATTCTTAAAATATCTAAATTATTTTTTTAAAATAATAGATGATTACGAAATATTTTAACATATTTAAACCATTAATATCAAAATATAATATATATATATTTATTTATTTAGAAGGGGTGAAAGTCCATGGTAAATATTAAAAAAGGAAAAAAAATAATAATAATTGGACTTTGAAAGACAATGACTTAATTGTAATGAATTTCTACTTTTGTGGAAAATTCTAAACAAAATAGGAAGAAATTGCAATTAAATTATAAGATTTATTAAATTAATTTTTTTGTGTTTAAAAAATGAGCTACGTATGCTTTAAATTTATATAATAAAAAAAAACCCTTCAATTATTTATCATCCATTAAAAAAATACTTTAGTTTAATTAATTTAAGAATAATTAACAAAGCTTAAATACCACAAATATTTGTTGTCATTTGGAGTATGTATTTGGGGAAGCTTTCTTCTTTTGTATTACTTTATAATTAATTTCACAATTATTAACTTAATTACATTACGCATCTGTTTAATATTATCAATTTCAAGTCTATGTTGTCGGTATATACTAATTTGAAAAAGAAGATTCTAGATATTATTATTAATGAATCTTTTTATATGGTTAATATAATTCAATAATTCTCATGAAACTACGTCGTTGGTTGATATTTTGTTAATTCAATAATATAATCGTTCAGGAATCATAATTATTTAATTAATTAATTAATATAAAATCATATCAAATTTGATTTTATATCTTTTTAAATAAATGCCCCTACGTTGACTTTTCATTTTATCTATATGTAAATGTGCTGTAATATTTTTAAATTAAAAAAAACATTTTTAAAATTGCAAAGCGTATGAAGAATAAAAAGTATTTAAAATAAATAATAATGGCAAAATTATTTTAATGATCTTAAACAAGACCAACCACGACGACGAAGAAGAAATTCCTGCCAATAAAAGATTATTAAATTATTTAACGGTTAACTGCCACATCATCTCTACGTGTACCATTTCTTTTACAAACCTCGGAATTAAGTTTTTTTTTTAATTAAAAAAATCTAATTATATAAAGATATCTAGTTTTTTATGAGTGATTTCAGAGGACGACCTAAGGAGTAAGTTGGTGGGAATGTGACATTTGGACCATAATAAATGAATGGGGACCACATTCGAATAAGAGTGATCATAGGAATGAGAATGAATGAATGGGGACCACATTCAAATAAGAGTGATCATAGGGACGATAATGAATGAATAGGGACGAGATTCGAATAAGAGTGATCATAGAGATAGAATAGTTAAGAATATTTTGAAAGAATTCGAAGTTATTACATATACTAACATGTTGCACCTTCTGTTTCAGCATCTCGATCATAAAACCTTAAAAGTTAAACATGTTTTGTTTGTTACACTCGTGGTGGTATGTAAAAACAATACTAACGTAGCTAGATTCGAATTCCAATTCCTAATTTGATTCCTAATGAAAAAAAAAAATGCTGAAATGACTCAAGTCAGTCTGTGGGGTTAGTAGTCTACATTCATAGAAGCTACAAGCAGCTAACGTAGCTATGTGTTGAAGCCATCAAACCTTCGTTCCAAGTTTCATGTCTTGATTTTAATCGTGTGGGACGGTGTGAATAGTAGTTTTTACTCATAAAAGCTACAGGGCAAGTAAGATATCGGGAATCAAAGTCAAACCCATACCCAAATCCTCATCTATATAAACATAAACTAAGAACACATCCTTCTTCACCCTCCCAAACATCATCACCACAAAAATGGACCCAATCTCTGCAGGGTTCAACACCAAATCCTTCACCCTCAAACTAATCAAAGGGCCATGGTTCATGATGTTCGCGTCCTTCCTTATTATGTCCATGGCCGGCATACCTTACATGTTCGGCCTCTACTCCGGCACCATCAAATCTGTATTGGGTTACGACCAAACCACCCTTAATTTCATCAGCTTCTTCAAAGATGTCGGCACCACCGTCGGTGTCTTGGCCGGCTTAATCAACGAAGTAACCCCACCATGGTCCATTCTTGCCATGGGAGCTCTTCTCAATTTCTTCGGTTACTTCATGATTTGGCTCTCTGTTTCCGAGAAGATCCCCACCCATGTCTGGCTCATGTGCTTATATATCTGTGTCGGAGCCAACGCTACAACGTTTGCTAACACCGGCGCCCTCGTCACCTGCGTTAAGAATTACCCGCAACGGCGCGGCGTCGTCATCGGAATTCTTAAGGGCTACATGGGGTTGAGTGGGGCCATTGTTACGCAGCTCTACCATGCGATTTATGGGAAAGATGAAAAGTCGTTGATTTTGTTGTTGGGTTGGTTGCCGGCGGTGATTTCGTTTATTTTCTTGCCGACGGTGCGGCGGATGAAGGTGGAGCACGAGGAGGATGAGCTGAGGGTTTTTTACAGGTTTTTGTATATCTCGTTGGGGCTGGCCGGGTTTTTGATGTTGATGATAATTTTGCAGCAGAAATTTAGTTTTGGGAGAGGGGAGTACGGTGGCAGTGCGGCGGTGGTTACATTTTTGCTCCTTTTGCCGATTGCGGTTGTTGTTGCTCAGGAATTCAAGGCGTGGCGGCGCTTGAATCAGCCTCCGGTGGTTGAGAATGGGCTTTCCTACACGCCGGTGAGTGAAAATTTAATCAATTTTTTTTGGAAATTTTAAGGTTAGACAAAGTTGCCATTTTGATCAAACGTTAAAAACAGGGGACAGCGGCGTTGAAGAACACGACACCAATGGCACTCCTCCCGAAGAAACCAAAGGAGACAGAACCAGCTAGCAGCACCAAAATTCAATGGTGGAAAAACGTGTTCAATCCGCCAGAAAGAGGAGAAGATTGGACAATTCTCCAAGCTCTGTTCAGCTTCGACATGTTCCTCCTCTTTCTCGCCACCGCGTGCGGCGTCGGCGGGACACTAACCGCCATCGACAACCTCGGACAAATCGGACAGTCACAAGATTACCCAAAGAAAAGCATAAGCACATTCGTGTCGCTTGTCAGCATATGGAATTACCTCGGCAGAGTAATGGCCGGATTCCTCTCCGAACATTTGCTAATCAAATACAGATTCCCTCGTCCTTCAATGCTCACAATCGTTCTTCTTCTTTCCTGCATCGCCCATCTTCTGATCGCCTTCAACCCGAGCGGCGGCCTCTACATTGCCTCTGTTTTAACCGGATTCTGCTACGGCGCCCAGTGGCCTCTGCTTTTCGCCATCGTCTCAGAGGTTTTTGGGCTAAAATATTACGCGACGCTGTATAATTTCGGGTCAGTGGCGAGCCCTGTGGGGCTTTATTTGCTGAATGTGAATGTGGCGGGGTATTTATACGACAAGGAGGCGAAGAAGCAGCTGGCGGCGACGGGGAGGATAAGAAAAACAGGGGAGGAGTTGATTTGTAATGGGACGGTGTGTTTCAAGCTGTCTTTTGTGATTATTACGGCGGTGAGTTTGTTTGGGGCTTTGGTTTCTTTGGTTTTGGTGTTGAGAACGAGGAAGTTTTATAAGAGTGACATTTATCGGAGATTTAGAGAGGCGGAGGAGGCGGAGAAGGCGGAGAAGGCGGAGAAGGAAGACGGCAGTGGGTTCATAAACGGCGGCGATATAGTGGAGGACTCGAAACAGGGGATTAGGCAATGATGATGTCTGCATTTTTAGATTGGTTTGTTATGGTCACCCTTTAATTTTGATTATTGTAATTGTAGTTTTTTTAATTTAAAAGCTTTAAGGTTAAATTGGTAAAAACAGCCCTAAAAGTGTTGACTTTAATGAATATTGTAATCTTCCTCGTGACATCGAGCGAGATAGAAGAAAACTAGTTTGAAAGGTTGACATCTTTTATTTCATAATTACAATTTCCCTCTTTTTCCACGTTTGTAGGATAACTCTTTGTCGCGTTGACTTACTTATAGTCAACTAACCAATGCAATTGAAGTGTTTATTTATTAGTGATTAACATAAATATCACCTCACTTATTTCCAAAATTTTAAAAAATGGTTAAGAATGAAATAAAAAAACCAAATTTTGAAAACAACCTAAAATATGTTACCAACTCATTCCTTAAAATGAGGAAAGAGTACTAACGATTACATATAAATAAAATATATTTCATAACTAAGTTTATATACCGTTCGATCACACCTAACAAGTTGGGTAGTACGTGTCAACCTAATGAGTTGGGTAGTACGTGTCAACCTAATGAGTTGGGTATACATGACAATCACACCCAACAAGTTGGGTAGTAAGTGTCAATCAAATTGTTGTCTTTCCAAAATTTTAATGAAAACATGTGCCAGTAACATTTTAGTCGAAACATAAGATGGTTTGATGATTCCAGCTTGTAACTTTTCTCGAACTACATAGTAATCAATTTCAATGTGCTTCATATGTTCATGAAAAATTGAATTGGCTGCTATATGCAATACTGCTTGATTATCATAATACAACAATGTTAGTTCGGACAACGAAACTTTCAAATCTTGAAGAATGTATCTCAATCAAGTTAACTCTAAATAAGTGTTTGAGGGTGAAGAATTTAGTGTTAAATCGTGCTGAGCTTGGGTCCATTTTTGTGGTGATGTTTATGAGGATGAAGAAGGAGGTGTTCTTAGTTTAATGAGGATTTGGGTATGGTTTTGACTTTGATTCCCACTAGGTTGGGATGGGAAGCGTAGTGATGTCGGGATTTTGTAGCTAATACTTGATCCTAAAACGATGCGAACCCACATTTTCGATGATTTTGTAGTGTCTCATGTCTAAAGGTTCAGTCCGACACACGGTTGCGTTATCTATTTGTAGCTTTTATGAGTAAAGACTACAGTCTCTACACGTTACCTCCTTATAGCTTCTAGGAGTAAAAACTATTATTCCCGAACCAACATGAGTCATTTTAAGGATTAAGAACAAGATTTGAAATCTCAAATCAGGACTGGATGGCTTCAACACATGGTTACGTTATCTGCTTGTAGCTTCTATGAGTAAAAATTAATATTCCCACAGACTAACACAAGTCATTTTAGCCTATTTAAATCCAGAATTGGAATCTGGATCTAGCACCGGATCTTCCTGCATCCCCTACAACACGGAGATGTTACCTACATGTAGCTTTTAAAAGTGAAACTATTGTCCTCACATACCAATAGAGTCCTTTTAATGCTTCCAACATGGAAAATTCCTAGAAGGCCACCGAACATGAAATTTCAACAAGTAAAATAGGAAGGTGCATTAGATTGGTATATGTAATAACTTCAATTCTTTCAAATTTTTTCGAATCATTCTATATTCAGTATCATTAGCATTCGAATGTGGTATAAGTTCATTTATCTACCGTCACACTATCACAAGCTCACGAGATTCCTCCATAGTTCGTGCTTAAATCATAATCTAGTTGGAGAAGTATTGCATAAAAAGCTAAAAAAAAAAACACCTTTTATTTTTTTACGAGGTTCGTAGAAGAAATGGTCTACATTATAGGTGATGTGGCAGTTAAGCATTAGTTTTGGTTTTGGAAAAGTAAATAATTTAATAATCTTTTATTGGAACGACAGTTTAAAAAGAAAAAATTATTTTAATAAATTTTATAAAAACTTATTTTGTTGATCCACAGAAACATTTGGGGTATTGATTTGTCGACCTCTTGCAAGATTGATTGGCGTAATGACATAAATAGCCCTTTGATAGGCGTAATTTCTGTGGATCAACAAAAGCCTGGTCGAACATTTATATTAAATTAATTTCGTAAACATTTCAAATAGCCGTCTTAGCTCAGCTGGTAGAGCGCATGGCTTTTAACCATGTGGTCGTGGGTTCGATTCCCACAGACGGCGAAAGGGGGAGGGTACCCTTTTTCTATTAATTTTAATTTTATTTTTTAATTTTATTTTTTAATTTTATTTTTTAATTTTATTTTTTAATTTTATTTTTTAATTTTATTTTTTAATTTTATTTTTTAATTTTATTTTTTAATTTTATTTTTTAATTTTATTTTTTAATTTTATTTTTTAATTTTATTTTTTAATTTTATTTTTTAATTTTATTTTTTAATTTTATTTTTTAATTTTATTTTTTAATTTTATTTTTTAATTTTATTTTTTAATTTTATTTTTTAATTTTATTTTTTAATTTTATTTTTTAATTTTATTTTTTACTTTGAAACATTTTGGAAGGAATCTTTAATTTATAACTTTAAGGAAAGCAAAATATACAGTTAAAATAGATCAAATATTTAATCACTACTGCCTTGGAAGAATAATAAATCTCCAACAAAAATGTCAGATAACGGTCATCCCGAGGTGTCTTATGTTGTATTTAGTTTTGTTCTCCTGTTTTTGTTTAATATTTAAATATACCATGTCGGACTTGAACGCTTTCTTATTTTAAAAATAAAAATCTAAAAAAATGCAAAGCGCATGTTCATGATACTCGTAAACAAGATATCTTTAATTTAATTTAATTTAATTATAAGAGCTTTTTATTACTCTTCTATATTTTCTATAATGTGAATAGAGTGCTATAATTTTTTACTATATACAAAATTATTATAATTTGAATATATAAGTTTGACGACCACGATAGTGATGATGATCTGTATCCGTCACCTTTAAATATCATTCTGTGGTAGTCATCATCGTTACCACCGCCATTCCCATAAATTGGATTGTTATTTATGGCAGTGTTACCACCATATCCACCATCATCATCGCCATCGCTACCGTTGCTTCCGTTGCTACCATTGAACCCTTGATATACAATTCCTTGACCTGCATTGTATCTACACGTTCAAAAAAAAAACGGTCAAAACTAGTTTTAATCGTTGAGAATCTCATAAACATCGCAATGTTTATAAGATACACATTGAGTTCTTCTTCTCAATATCAATATCAATAGATGAAACCCTAAATGAGTATTCGCTTCAAGAATCAAAATTCGACCCCGACGTTCGTTAATCTATAGAGCAAGTCATCTTCCATCTTCTTAAAGGTGATAAGATGAAACCGAACGATATTAAGAATGATCGAGAACGGGAGGCGGGCCCATGGTTGAAAAGCAAAGGGAAGAGAAGGGGAAGAAAAGCTTAGGCTTTCTTTTTGTATGCTCAAATACATGCATTTGTTGCTCAATTTGGGTTCCAATTGAATCAATTCCCTCCTTCTTTGTTCCTTTTTTAACCCAAAATTTGGGACTATTTTTTTATTAATTTAGAAGCATTTAAAAAGTAGCTTTTAAAAAAGCTTCACATTATATTTTTAAATTTTTATTTTTAATAAATCTTAATATTAATTAAAAAAAATAAACATGTATTTTTTATATATTAATTTTTTTTGAGAAAAAATGACTCATTCTATGGGCGATGAAAAATGAATATATCCCGTTGTACCATTTTACAGTATTAAAATATTTCACTCGTAAATTAATCAATAAATTTTTTTAAAAAATCTATTAAAATTGTTAAATTATAAATTATAAATTTTTAATTTTATATTTAATAAGTGTCAATTATTAAATAGTAATTAATTTAGGTAATAAAATGGAAGATGTTTTTTTTAAAAAAAAAGTAAATGAAAAACGAAAGATACCTGGGGGCGCCGAAAACGCCGGCGTTCATAGTGAGCTGATTGATGAGAGCCACCGACTTAGGCTCGACGCTGGAGGCCTTACCGTACTGGGTGCTAAGTCCGGCACCGGACGGCACAAAAAATGCGCCGTTCACCAAAATATCACCCTCCGACCGCCAATTCCACGCCGTCCACTCCGTCTCCGCCGTGTCTAAACGTTTCGTCACCTATAATCATCACCGGCTTGTAACGCGCTTTACCAGAAGAATATAAAAACAAAAACGCAATTATAGTTTTGGTCTGTTGTTTTTTACTCCCTCAAATTCCGCTGCCGCCAATTCCGGCCAAAGGCACCAAAAGAAAGGGCCCACTAAGAAATAGTGATTTATTGGCTGCGCGTCAACATCAGGCGCCGCCTAAGCAAGTGGGATAAGGAATCTAATTCTCCCCTCCCCCACTTCTCGCATTCAAGTCAAAAGTTCCTGTCATGACCACCGCCGCCGCTCCCCTCCCCGAATAATTCCATTAAAAAAAAAAAAAAAAAACTTTTTTCTTTCAAATTTTATGTTTATTCCATTAGTTTTAATATTTTAAAATCAAATAAAATATTTAAAGGTTTAGAGAGAGAAAAAGACCTCTTTGGCATTAGGGTCCACCGGCGCGGTGTAACGGTTACCCTGACTGTTAATAGTTGGGCGGGCACTGCCGCCAATGGCATACATTTCCCAAGCGGTGAAGTCATTGTTGACGACATGAATGTAGCCATACCTACAACGCGGCATGCGTTGGCTCAGCGCCTCGCCGAAGTGGTTGAACGCAATGGTGACTTGCATCCCTGAGTCCTGCGCGTACTTGTCGTCGTGCCCCAACAGCATCACCTTGTCATGGTGCGAGAAGTAGCTGTTTGATATTGTTATCCCCGTCGATCCCATTGTTGCATCTATCAGCCCATCTTTGCAGTATGAAAGCGAGCAATGGTCGATCCAAATCTTCCGCGAGCTGAATATCGATATCCCATCTCCGTCCGACAGCCCCCAATGCCCCACATGACTTGGGGTCGACCTATCATAACCCATCACCTTAAACTT